ACTGGTGTGTTTGAGCTGCTTTGACTGCTCAAATTCTTGACCGCTAATTCAGACACAACCCTCAGGCCTTCAGACTCTGAGGCTGGATGCAACTGATTTATGATTTTAAATGAGTCAGAAATGGTTGGCTATTCCAGGCTAGAACATTGCTTTTTGCTAGGGTTTGGACACTAGCACACTTGTTTTTTGGCGGTAGAAATTTTATGCTTCTGAATGTGGTCTTAAGCTGTCCTCCGAAGAAGAAAAACATGATCACTTTAGAGAACGCCACCAGAACTGTTCTTCTAGGACAAAGGCTCCCGAGGGGATACCATACACCGCGCACATCGGGACAAAAGCCTATCCTGCACAAGCAGTTACCTGACTGTGCTTTACGCACTTCATGCAGCAAGTGAAACGCGGAATATGAGGTGCAAAGGGAAAAGATAATCAAGGATTGATTTTAAAGACGTACATTGGCTGTTAGTCAGTAAAATCGTGTTTTTCCCCTTCTCATTTGCGTGAAGGGGGAAGGAATCCTTCTATTCCTATTAAGCGCAAGCCAGTAGAATGCGGGCAAAGACTGACAAGTAAACCGTGGAACAGTTGGGTCTCCTGTGACATATTTATTCTCAAATCGACACTGATATCAACTCCGATGTACAGTACGTTACCTATCTCATGAAAGGGGCCTAAATTTACGAGAGAGCGCTAATCATTCGCAGACTGGCAAAAAAGTATGCACTAATTTTTTAATAATAAAAAACGATTAATTGAAAATATAAAAGAAATATTAATAGTAATATTGCGTTTCTTAAAAATATCAAATGATAAGAAACCGAAGAATTCTAAAGTTGTCGAAGATTTTTCAACCGAAAGCCTGACTGCGCAAAAAGCGAGCTAATAAATCAGCACAGGTAGAAACAGTGGAAACATTCCTTTAGTGAAGTTTGCGCTTACCTAGCCTTCAATCATTGATATTAATTTTGAAAGTTGGCAAACAGCCTACAATACTTCGTGAGAATTGGTTACATTTTTCACTTGCGATACGATTTATTAATGCAAGCAGGTTTTCGCGTGATTCAGTCGATAGGGACAGCAGAAGAATGATCAGTTATCTAATGTCACATTTTGACAGGCCAGTCAGTGTCTACTATATTAAGCTATAGTTGTCAGGTCAAATCCTTAACATACAATTTTGTGAATATCAAGAGAAATTTCCTTTGTCAATTTTTTTCATAGGTTCTTTGACTTCGGAGTGGGATAAGTTTCAGATAGTCCTTGATGAGTATTCCAATAATTCATCGATTGCACACACGTATAGATTCTGTTCTATATCCTTATCTAAACCTACGAAATAAAATATTTGGTGGAAACAGCTACCGAGATAGTAAGTCCTTGGACCTTGATTCTAGTGCAGATGGCCACTTCGAAAATATTTGTATACTTACGCAAACATGAAACTCCATCACAGAGAAATGTGGAAGTTCAAAACAAATATAGGCAATTTATATGTTTTAGATCAATTAAACACTTCGAATAAGTTAGCTCCTGAAAAATGGTTTTATTTAAGGATTTCGATGTATAACGGCCTACATTTCAAGTAAAAGTCGAAAATGTAGCATACAAACCAATCACTCCCCCAAATCCCCTCGATGAAACGAAATCCGAACAACAGTCTGTCATACGCCACTGGATTACTCTCACATGCAAGATTGTCGTTAGTTGGCTATATTTTTACCAAATAACGAAATTAGGTGCCCGATCGACTAAGATATGCCAAAAGAAACGTGCTCCAGATGACCTTCATGACTGCCAAGGATCGGCAGCGAGAACTGATATGAGAGATGACCAAAGCATAAAGAGGGTCAAAAGACCCCCTGAGTGTCAAGTAAAAAACTATACGCTTTCAGAAATCCCAATCGGTAGACGGTTTGATCAATATCTAAGCCAGATCACGTGACCTGTTTAGCATTACAATGTAGAATTCTGTTGGAATTGTTAAAATAACTAATTCTTCTCACCATTAGGTAGAAGGCACTAAAAGGGGCCACTAGATCTTTGTCACCTGGTTTGCACCAGCACATACGATGAGGCTATTCGGCTGCGTTGTAGAAAATTCCCGTAGTGAGCATGATCACGTGATTATGACTCGTAGTAAATGTCCGTACGTTCTTTTACGGTTGCATGACACGTCTCAAATTATTCTAGTGCTGACTTGTCGCGTTTAGAGGCATTTGAGCATTAAGTGTCCGAGTTCTAATCATGCATAAACGGATAAATGAAGACGATGAAAAAAAAACAGATATGGGCAAATTCTTCGAGGTATGCACAATTCCATCCACTTAGTTTCTGTGTACCTGCATTGGTTGAACGAAAATTTTGTAAGAATCTAATGTGTGGGACCACATTATAATTACTGTGTACTTGGCTATTTATTTGATTTAAATATGCACATAACACTGCTGTTACATCCAGTCAGTCGGCCTTGAGTCAGTTCACATTTGATCAGGTGCATAAAATGAAGGCATAACGACTTTATCACGTTTGACTGAACAGCATGCACCCATGCCTACCATCTAATGGATACCTCTACCGTTTTGGCCTGCAGGGGTTATTTCATCTCCTACGAGGACAATGGACCGGCCGTCAAACCACGGATATGGAGTTCCCGCTCCTTCAACTATGACAATATCATCTTCGCAATGCTTACCCTTTTCACAGTGACCACTGGCGAGGGTTGGCCAGAGTAAGTTTTTCTTACGAAAATGGAGTAACTGCGGTGAAGTCTTCTTTCGTATCTTGGGTCCGTACCTGTGCCCAGTTGGTCAGAAAAGCTGCAAGAAAAGCGATTGCTATTTTGCAGTTCCTTTTCACTGTGTTTACGGATTCACATCCATGTGTGGGATTTTTAATTTAATTACAGCACATTAGACATGCTTCCTGCATAAATTCAGGGAAATTCGGCTAGTCTCATAGGAACTCGACCTTGAGATTCAACACAAAGTCCCGCTCAGAGCCAAAGGTGCTCTCGCGGATGGCTTTAAATTTGCCAAGCGGGAATTGCGTTGAGCTAACACAGGGGATCAAACGGCAATAATTCGAGCTTTATTCGTGTGGCGCATTAAAACAAACGGAACAGAAGAAGAGGGAGGATGTCGAGGAGCGCCTAGGCGATGGTTTACGCTGCAACAGCCACCTGTGACCACTCCCTGCGTCAGATGACTGACCCCTTAGGACAGTGGACTGATGTCTGTGGGAGGAAAGAACAAAAGCAGTGGACTCTGTTAACTACGTCTCCCCGGCACGCAGTGAATATTCCTTAGTAAAAGCAATCTGACGCTCTTTTAAATTACTACATTTTGCTAAACGTCGTGACTTCGAAGACTGCCAACTGATAAGATAAGTCATTTCACTCCTCAGGACGGTCTGCAATGGCTCCCACTTTATGTAGCCTCTATGTCTCTCCCGCGCAGCTAGGATGTGCACAATATGCTGTGACAGTGGATATCGTCCGTAACAATTTACAAATTATCAGATAATGCCTCGACAAAGAGTTCGTAGTTTTTTCTCATAAATCATACCATCAGCAGTCTATTGCAATCTTCAAACTCAAAGACTAATTTTTCCTAAATGTGCTTCTTAACATCAGCACTGGTAAGTAGGCCACGAAATTATGCATTTCCTTCAACTATTGCCCTGCAAAGCGACTTTTATGTATCGAAACTAGTCTGCAGCGTAACTACGACTTTTCCGATTTTTATCTCTAAGAACACCAAATTTCATTTCCTAAAAGGTTCTTTTCACCAGCATCTACATCTTACAGGTCACCTGGTGTCCGCTGAGCTGTGGGACCCAGGGTGGACATTGTTGGTAACGAAGGTCGAACTGCCGTCCTGTATCTCTGTGGGAGCCACGATGCACCCTTGTCTACTTTACCTAATCTGGTTTTTAGGTAAACACGTTATTAGGCGCAAGCAGCATGAAAGCTTTACTCGATTAGTCTATAAGATATTAAGTGAAATAAACAAGTACAGGCTGTAGATAGACACATCGGAGATGTCATAGTTAATGTGGATCACAAGTATAACCTCGAAATTTCCTGCAAGTAACGTTTCGTCTCGTTAGTTTTTATCTTAGATTGGATAATTGTAACGCAAGGGCTTTTTGATTCATTCGTCTGCCTTAGCAGGTTTACGTAGTGCCCCCGTCGATCATACATATTTTATAATAACAATAGTTCTCTCAAAATGTCACCGTATTACATCAACTACGAGAACATTCTCTTTCCATTTTGCTTTGCTGCTCCAATCTGGAGTCATGCAAGAAATTTTATAATAACAATGTTGATGAACAGAATGTTGACGAAGCTGACAGAACAAAAGCTCTGTCTGCCGGCCTCACTTTTTTCATGCACTCTCGGAGTTACTATCAAAACAGTCCTAGTCAGAAGTAGCGAACAGCGAAGGTGCCACATCAGTATAGTGCAGCCACTGTGCAACAACATATAGAGGCCTGAGTGAGCACTTTGGCTTTTTTCCGATCATCAGCTAGCCACATCCCAGCATCAGTCACCGGCAAAGTAACCCCACTAACTTGCTCCTTTTAGCATTATGAAAAATTCCATTGATGCCACGGAGGTGAATAGGGGCCCCAGAACTGATCACAGACAACAGATGGCCATCTTCTACGTCTTCTTCTTCATTGTATTTCCCTTCTTTTTCCTCAACATCTTTGTGGCTTTGATCATCATCACCTTCCAGGAGCAGGGCGAAAACGAGCTTGTTGACCATGAACTTGATAAGAACCAAGTAAGCTCACCTCGTCCACTTGACAAAATTATTTTTTTCCATTCTCATTGTGAGTGTTATGCCGTAGGGTGTTTGCCGCCCCATAAGGATAGGCGAAGAAGAAATTTAAAGAGCTGAATTTGATGCATAACATATTAATTACTTGGTCCGGAGTGATTGCACATTAGGTTCAGGTAATGAGCCTTAACTGCAAAGCAGCTACGAGAAGTTTTTTGGTGCCGTCGCATCTACATTTTTAATAAGTCGCATATGTGGGAGAGATGCTTTGTGATAGCCGCCAGCTAATAATTGGTGCGGATTATTCTTGTGGGTGTATATAAAGGGCATGGGAACAGGAACTGTCGACAATGCGCGCGGCTTTGCACCAAATTCTAGAAAATTAGGTTAAGGTGCAGGTGAGGATGAATGTTAAGTTTTAGGGTTAGGTTTAAGCTTGAGGTTATTGTTAGGATTATTTTAGGGAGTTAGGCTTGGGTTCGTGTTAACTGTGTTAGAATAGGGTTAAGATTAAGGTTGCAGTTTAGTCTTATGAGATGAAGCAGATACGATCGCCGGAACCGCGTCTTTATTCACTTCTAGTTTCGGATTCCGCTGCGGATCCATCATCAGAGACAAAAGCAGAAAAGGGTGACACTAAATGGGGCGTTACAGTATTTATAGGATAGACTTGCTATGTTACTGCCTACCAATAAAATCTGATGTCCCCCTATCGAGGATAGTTGCCCGCTTCTGCACTAATTGCTTAGATGGCTACGTGAGGGTCGTAACCTGCTGCACTTTCATCTTCCGTGAAAGGAGTAGGCGTGATGATTGGTCGGCCACCTGGCTCCCTGGCGCTGGCGTTAGAAGACGCATTCGCCTGTGCTCGCCCCGAGTGGCAAATTGCTTTGCCAGATTGCGTTTCAGCACCAAATATGGGTTGGCCATTCTCGCTTGTATTGGGAGTTTAGTCTTATGTTAGGGTAAAGGCAAGAGAATTTCTACTCTTCCTGGAATGTACAACTAGGAGACTTATTTTAAGTGGGTGAAACGTTCCGTGTCCTGCTTAGGCGGCCATACAAATCCTCCTTACTAAAACTTGTCATCAGGTAACATTTTTGCTCATAGGGATTAGTGGATAAGTGCCCTGTTCTGACCTTCATCCGACGTTCGACAAGATCTTGCCCGCACTAATTGCGAAGTAAGTTCGAACAATAGAGTACTTCATTCCACGGCACGTTCTCTTCGTCTTCATTGACTTCTGGATGCTGGGGTGTGTTTCCTGATATCTTAGAGGAAGGGATATAGAGTAGCATGAGAATAAGATGTACTGCAAAAATCCTCGCGGTATGGATTGGAAATATAATATGCATCCCAAATTTGAAGATCGCTAAAGTTAGTTTTTAAAAAGTGATTGGGCAGGAGGGGAGCATACGCCGATAGCACGCAGAGTTTACACAGAACGCCCTTCTAACAACTTGTGTAAGTTGCATCGAAAAACACATAGCAAAGATTACGTATATGGTCCTTTAAACTGGATATGAGAATAGAAACGCCTCCCCCTCGATCCCAAAGAATAAATGTAGTACTACGCATAATTCCAGGAAAAGTAAATATTCACGTGTCCGAACATTAACAGTGGCTTAAATATAAACATAAACCTAAACTGTAACCCTAATCTAGATCCTAACTCCTACTCTAAACCCTAACTACATAGGAAACACTAAATCCAACTTTTAACCCTACTCATAACCCTGGCACTAGCATTAAACCTAATATCCCAAGAATTTGGCGCAAAACCACCCGTATTGAGTGCGGTACCTGTTCCTGTGTCTTGTTTAGGGGACCATATAATTAACCCTTACTAAACATTTAACTCTCCATGTAAGATGACTTTTGCCAATATGTTTAACCATTTGCATAAATTAATCCATATTTAAAAGAGCTATCAGGAATGCCAGCAAGTCTGAATGAAATTTCTAACCTAAGTAACAACATCAAATTTGAAAAAGCGGTCTGCTTACATTATGCTGTCTTTCTATCTTCCACCCCAACTAGAAACAGTGCATTGATTTCGCCATCAATGCCCGCCCTCTTTGTCGCTACATGCCTGAGGACATCAAGTCTTTTCAGTATCGTGCCTGGCAGCTGGTAGTTTCTGGTCCCTTCGAGTACTTCATCATGACTATGATTGCTTTAAACACTCTTATCCTCATGATGAAAGTGAGTGCTAATTTGCGTCTCCTTAAGATAACTATTTCAGTATCTAAGTCTTGAGGAACTGCTGTAGTAATGCTTTACATTTTTCCTCCTTTTTTACAGTATCACAAGCCCGAGAGGTCGATGACCTTCCCCTTGGCCATTGATGCAAACACTCGCAGTTACGAGAGTTACTGTAGTGCCCTAATGTACCTAAACACAGCCTTCACATGCATGTTTACCGTGGAGTGCCTGCTCAAGATTATGGCTTTTGGACCAAAGGTACGAACTCGTTAACTGTTATTGTCCGTCTGTTTAAGGTTTTTGCTTGCCTGCTATGTCTACTGGTGTTTCTACCGAATAGATTAATCATACGTTTGGAACGAACTTGAATCCGTTAACAGCCCCTACAACTTGGCTTGTCGATTTCTGATACCAATCGGGGCGCGCCTGAAGCGATTCTATATCTGTGGATCTTTGTTTGTTTGATAGAATAATAAGTGATGCTACGCATACATGGGCGCCTTTGTCGGTTAGACTGCCGCAAACGACGATGGTCACCGCGTGCCTTGCAGCATAATGGGCGCAGGGATGGCGCTTTGAGCGTGAATTGGTCAACATTGCTAGTTTGCACACCTTCACAGCATCTTCCCCACACTCGCCCCTCCGCCACCCACACGAGCCTGGGGGCAAGACTGATTCAAGAAGGCCGGAAGCTGGATCGAGGACAACATGGGAAAAAGTGTAACAGACCCTATACGCATGCTACATCCATGCGCAATTTATCAGAATTTCGCAAAAGAAGGTGATGGCTCGAATCCCATCGGAGTGGAAGTGTGAGATAAGCCAAATTAAGAAGGAGTTACCACAACCTAATCCTTCATCCTGTTAGTTGATACCTTTCAAGCCA